TTTTCCAACTTGGGATACTTCTAGAGGGAGATTGCTTAAGTCGTAGCTGTGATCTACAACACGTCTCAGATGAACTACTTTACACTTTGAAGTGTTGAGTGCAAGTCCGTCATCATCTGCCCAAATTTGAAGTCTGATCAGATCTTTCTGAAGTGCCAGTATATCCTCTTGGTTGCGTATCTCTCTCCAAAGTTTCACATTATCAACACAAAGCAATAAATCTGACGAAACCAGTTGTGGAATATCGTTTGTATGAATGAGTAACAGAAGAGGTCCTGGTACTGAGCCCCAAGGGACGCCACCAGGACATCCCGTAGCCTGAGAGAAAGTGAAGTTAACCCTGACCTTAAAGTGTCGATTTTTAAGATGTTAAGTAAGCCAGTCAGTTAAAGGTGATTTGATTCCCAATCGTTTGAGCTTATTGATAACACATATATGGTTGATCATGACAAAAGCTTCAGCAGAATTTCGACCACCAATGTACGTATGTTTCAAGAAATTGACTTTAGGAAGATCGAAGTACCCAAGAATCGGGATATGAGTGAATCCGAGACGAGTAGAGCGGGATAAACCTTCCAGCATACGATTGTCGTACCCGATGTCAGCAACTAAATACCTCGAGGTGGTAGTCAATCTTACTGAGCACCATACGGATTCATAATAATAATTCTTGATGAATTTTCTATTCCCGATAACCGAAGTTTGTGTAGTCAGGGTTCGTGTTTTTCGATAAACTTTGCTCAATAATATTTATTCCGCAGAAAAACTTTCCGTGAGATTCTTTAGGGATATTCAGGTTGAGATTTCACTTAGAATACGGTATATAAAGCAGTATTCTTACATTCTCATCATATTTCACTATGTGAATATCTAGTGGGATATCCTTCACGTCGGTAGCATTAGTGAGTGTTACACGAAGTAGCCTCGGGTGATTTTAATAGTGAGCCGTGTGACCGCCAAGGGCTTTATTTTGGGATTCAAACACCAATGCCCGGAGCTTGCTCAATAAGCTATCGGAACTAAGTGTACAGATTAACTCTACTAAGCCAGACGTAATCGCAGTCACAGAAACATGGCTGACGCCGTCTATAGATAGTAGGGAACTTGACTTCGAAGGTTTTACATTAGTAAGGGCCGATAGAATGCAAAAGCGTAAAGGAGGGGGATTAGCTCTATTCATTATGAGAGCTATCCCATTCACCATTATCGACAGTGTATCCCATGAAAGTGGGACGTATGAAATGCAAGGGACAACAGCTGCTGCTTGATTTGATCTATCTCAGTCCAAGCTGTGAGGTAAATGAGGTCCTGCTAAGCAGTCTCAACACTTTATCACGAAGTGATCGATGTCTAATCCTAGGGGACTTTAATGAACCCATGGTGGACTGGGGAAATCTGCGGACTGAATAGTCAGCAAATTCCTTCGAACAGGAACTAGTTGATGCGGTAATCACATGTGCCCTAGTGCAACACGTGAAGGAATCAACCAGGTACGACCCAGCCTCTGCATCATCCTTACTAGATCTTATATTGACTCAGTATGAGGACGACGTTGCAAAACTGGATTACATGCCACCCCTAGGCAAAAGTGATCATGCAGTTTTAAGCTTTGACTTCCATATAACTGTCGATCACGAGCACGCCTCAGCTCAATCCAGACCCAACGTCTGGAAAGCAAACATACAAGACATCATGAAATCAGCATCATCAGTAGATTGGACAATAGACCCTGAGTCATCAGTCGAAACGGCCTGGGACGTATTCCGGAATTTATACTTCAAAGTTACCGCCCCCCCACATCCCTTGGACTACACCTAAGGGGCCGAGAAACTCCCCACCGTGTTTCAGTAGGGAGGTTCGCATCCTTCTCCGTAAAAGAGGGCGGCCTGGTTAAACCTCTGGGCTACCTGTTCCTGTAATCTAGATATTTCAACAATTTATCTAATTTCGTTTGTTTTAATATATCATTATGCTTATTAATCGCACAACCTATTCAGGTGCGTTTCTGAAAAGTGTAAGACCTTTCGCCGTAAAGGTTACAGAAAGCCTAATCAGAGATATCGTGGTTGCTGGCAATATGCAGCGAGAAGAATGTACATTATCCAGATGTCGATTAACTGGGCTGCTAACTTCTAACTGGCGATTACTCAATATTTATCGTCAGGAAGGACGAAGAAGTAAGAAACTGAAACTTGTTGAAGTACTTAATGCTGAGAATTCTATATTGTACCCAAAATATAATACTGAATAAAGCTCATAATAATAATAATAATAATAATAATAATAATAATAAAATGTGGGATAGATTTAGGTTACTGAGGTCCGATGAGGCAAAATCACAGTATCAAAAAGCTCGGAATACCTGTGCCTCGACCCTCCATAAGTCCAGAAAGCTGTACGAAGAGAAAATCGTTAAGGAATCCATAGAATGCCCTAAACGCTTGTATTCGTATATAAACCAAAGAGCAAAAAGAAGAAGACATGTTCCTTCACTATGGGGAGACAGTACTGCCACATCACTAGTGGAGGACGACTTTGGCAAAGCTCAAGTATTCTCTAAATACTTTAGCGTTGTATACACCATAGAAACACCCTTCTCACCAGTCCATGAAAATCCCCCCACACAAGCACTGGACAGCGTAACCATTAAAGAACTCGATGTCTTTGGTCTGCTAGTTAAGCTTGACATAGGTAAATCCACTGGACCCGATGAACTGCATTCTAGGTTACTAAAGGAATTAGCTAACTTTGTTGCGAACCCTTTAAGTGTATGTTTCAATCTATCCGTAACCCAGGGTCGTCTACCAAAAGACTGGAAGAACGTCATAGTAAGTCCTGTCTTCAAAACAGGTACAAAACATAAGTCTGAGAATTACCGACCCATTAGCCTGACTAGTGTGGTTGTTAAAATCTTAGAAAAGATTATTCGGGAGGAGCTGTTAAAGTATCTCGATGAAAACCGGATCCTCTCCGAAAAGCAGCATGGTTTTAGAACAGGTTACTCTTGTCTCACAAACTTATTAGTCGCTCGTGAAAGCTGGTGCGCTCTTAAGGACCAAAAGTTACCTATAGACGTGGCTTACATCGATTTCGACAAAGCTTTCGACAAAGTTCCGCATAACCGGCTGTTATATAAGCTAAAGAATGTCGGGATTGGAGGCAATCTATTGATGTGGATAAAAGACTTCCTAGTTGGGCGTCAACAAAGAGTGCGGTGAACTCCAAGTTGTCTAGCTGGGAAACTGTGTTTAGTGGAGTCCCCCAGGGTACAGTTTTTCGGCCAGTGTTATTCCTCCTGTACGTAAATGATCTCTCTCGTCTACTATCGTCATCGGTCTTGCTCTATGCTGGCGATGTCAAGATATGGAGAGCGATACAATGTAAGGGTGATAGCTTAGAACTCCAAAATGGACTGGAGAAATTATCTGAATGATCCCAAACCTGGCAATTGCCGATAAATACTTCCAAGTGTATTGTGATGCATATTGGCCATCAGGGTACAGATACATACACGATAAATAACACTGAGCTACCTATTGTTCAGACACACAATGACTTAGGAGTCATCTTTAGTCAATACTTAAAAACTACTGCACACTGCCGTGCAATAGCTGCCAAAGTTTTTAGAACTTTATGGTCCATACGCAGGGCTTTTAGTCATCTTGACGCTAAAACGTTTCTGACTTTGTATACAGTGTTCGTACATCCTAAACTTGAGTACTGCATACAAGCAGCTAGCCCTGCCTAAAAAAAGACAGTGAACTCTTGGAAAGGGTTCAGAGAACAGCAACTAGGCTGATTCACGGAATAGCGAAGCTCCCGTATGGTACTAGACTGACCAATCTAAACCTATTCCCGCTGTCATATAGAAGAATCAGAGGCGACTTGATTACAGTTTTCAAATGGCTTAGTAATAAATTTGCACCTAATATGCCCTCATTTTTCTTGTCTCCCAAAACAGAAAATTTACGAGGACACTCCAAAAAAGTTCACGAGCGCAGAACGAATTACTTGTCAGCTGACTACCGACTTTCCCATCGAATAATCAACGAGTGGAATTCATTACCTCAGCACGTGGTTGAGGCTCCATCCGTCGACTCTTTCAAGGGAAAGCTGGATCAGCTGAGAGACCATCATCGCCAGGACTAACACAGGCCATCAAGCCTCCTGTCCTTTCCAAACTGAAACGGAAACTGAAACTTATGATAAATGACTTACCTGTCAGAGAGATCTGTCTTGACAAGCTGTGGAATTTTAATTCCTGAAATTTTCTCCTCTCAATCCGCTTCCGATTTGGTGTCAAACGCAGAGGTCTCACTCTGTTTCCTTACTTTTCTTTCTCTAGGTGTGCTTCTAAGCCAATTATTCACCTTATTACATCTCTTCATCACGTCATCTACACTGCTCAGACTTTGCCCCCCTATAGTCTGTTTTGCATTAATATATGAATCCGGGACTGAAACTGCAGATTCACATACCTTAGTGATACCTATAATTTGTTTCTTCTTTGAGTGATTTTTTCTTTTTTCTTGTAACAATGCCCACATCTGCATGCTTGTTGAACGCATTATCTTTTTGGTCTCATTCAGAAATAGAGCTGGGCTCATAATAACGCTCACTATTTTCACGAAAGCAGAATTCTGCTCATCTACTACTGTCTGTTTATTTGAGGGCGATTTTCTAGCTATGTCCATAAGTTCAATCGCCTCTAGAATCAGCAGAGACTTTGTAGAACAGTATGCTTTGCACAGCCAACTTGAAAGTGACTTGTGACACCATTTACATACAGCCTGTATGAGTCCAGTGCGCACATAGTGATACAACTGATTGTAGTGTTTTATACTTCCAAGTTCGTGGGAAAAATTAGCATACAAAATCCATTCTGTTGAGAGCATGAAATATATTTTACAAGATGAACTCGTATGCCAGGAAAAAATAGTTGACCATTTTCGATTGGGATATTTAAAGTTTTTGTTTTAATTACCTAAATTGAAGGTAAAGTTTACCAGATGACCCTACCGCCTGCGTACTTGTGACGAGGTTTGGTCGCCTTCTTGTAGGCGCGAGTACAGGGTTGCCTTGACTGGTTGTTGTCTGTCACTTTTCTTTATAAATGTAAGTGCGTCGTGTACGCTCGATGGGTCACCGGCCCACTTTTTTAAAATTCTTTTTTCCACGTCTTTTGACTCTGCGTGACTGGACGACCTTTGGACGAATCTTAAGTGACCTTGAGAAATATTAGTCAATCAGAAGAGTATGGAGTAAAAACATTATACGAAACGAAAGTGGATACACTTCCTTTACATGGTTCAAAACCTTGGAAGGTTAGAAATAGGTTCAGAAGTTCTAAAGTCGTATTGCATACGGTAGAGGAAATCCTCCATATGGCTCCATAATAGCGGCCTGTGGAGCCTTGGTTAGGTCGTAAACTCTTTCAACCTTGACCACATAGCTTCAGTATTGTTTGTTTGCACTCCAGTTGTTGAGTCCACAAAATCCTGCTTGTGGATGCCGACATGATGCACATAACCAAGTTTATGTGGGTATCTGTACGCTCTCCAATCTTCCGTGCATGTTGTAGTACCCGGTTGCAGCGTGGCCATGCGAGAGCATTTGGAGAGGGAGAGCATACTCTCCCCACTTTCGGCCGTACTAGGGCATTTCGGGGCAAAGAGAAGCACGGACAATTTAGCCACAGTTGGTAATTCATTTACACAAATTAAAACGAGGAGGGGACCGAGGATTTTTTCTTGGGGAACTCCACTTTTTATAGGTTTTTATGATGAGAGGGCTCCATTTACTCTTACCCTTTGTCTCCTGTCATGGAGAAAGTCACTTATCCAGTCTACGACTGTAAAAAGAATTCTAAAACTCTCTGGTTTTAATTTAAGACCAGAATGGGAGACCTTATCAAAGGCTTTACTTAGATCTGTGAAAATCACGCCTACATGAATATGTTGATCTTTTGCCTCAGCCCAATCTCTTGCAATGAGGAGATTTGTCAAGCATGATAGGTTTTTCCAAACACCATGTTGTTCCCTGGATAAAAGATTATGTCCTTCCATGTAGTTTATAACAGCTGTCCGAATAATTTTTTCTATTAGTTTTACAACCACACTAGTTAAGCTAACTGCACTAGTTACTAACTAAATCTCTACTCCTGGCCTTATAGAACGAACTAATTATCGCGTCTTTACAGTCTCTTGGCAGTCTGAACTGCCGCAGCGACATATCAAACAATATCGCTAAAGGTCCAGCAAATACATGTAATGGGGCTTTCATAATCCTTGAATGAATATCATCAGGATCACTGGACTTATCAGGTTTGAGATGCCGAAGTAGTCTTAAGACAGTACCTTTCTCGATAAATACAGGGTCCATCAATAAGCTGTCACAAACAATGAATTGGTGGTCGTTCCTCACTACTGATAGAAAATACTTTACTGAAATATTCCGATAAAGCTTCAGCTTTTTCGATATCATTTCTTGTCAATATTAACGAGTTTTCTTGTACCAAAAGTGATAGGATTCCATCACTTCTCTGAGTTCGCCTTTTTATATACGCGGATAACCGTTTCGGACTATAATTACAATCCCTAACCAATTGTTTTTCATATGACCGTTTAGGCTTTACAAGCATTCCTAGTCTTACAATAACTGGATCTGTACTGTTTTACGCCAGTAGATATGAACATATTTCAGTGCTTTATCCTACGTCTAAGGAGTTTCTTGACTTGTTTATTTATCCACGGTGGACAGTTATTCGGTCTACGTGGTGCCAGGTATGGTATGAACAGGGACTTGATTGAACTAAACTTGCCTTTAAATACAAACCATGCTTCTTCAACTGAGCTAGTATCTACTGACCAATCTGTCTTAGCAGTGCACTCCTGAATGGCTTATATGTTAGTTCTCCATACATTTTGGCGAGGCTTAACCTGATCGTATATCATGTCATTAGCTCTAAACGAGAATGACAAAACAGTGTGATTGCTACTCAATAACAGTGGAAGAACATTTTGGTTGAGAATATCTTCATTCGCATGGGTGATTACCAAGTTTAACAGAGAACTTTGGTTTACACCAAAACGTGTGTGTTTGGATACATGCTGTACTAACGCACGCTCGATTACCGTAATCAGAAACCTACTATCAAAGACTCGTCCACAAATTATAGTCTCGCCGCTTTTGGTTGTGTTATGGTCTCTGAGCTTGGTGACTGTTGCTTCATTGTCGTTCTGAATATCATCCATAATTCTATGTGTAAAAGAGTATTTCTGTTTCTGTCGCCAGTTATAGTCTCTTTGGTTTTGTAGATCAATAGTGTTTCTTTTTTAGTATTTTGTTCTGATAGAAAAATCCAAGGTAAGAGATATTTTAATCAAAGATGTCAAGCAACAAAAGTATGAATACCTTAAACAACTCAACACTACTGCTTAAGCTTTCGTTTTGTATTTCTTTCCATTGTATAAGGCTGTTAAATGTTTATTTATTTATTTATTTAAACACAAATATTGGTACAAGGAAGCACCAGATACATATAAGCCACATAAATCGAATGAGATTTGTGTGAGGGCTATGATACTGCCCAGGTGCCCAAACTGAAGCAGGTGGTTTTCTTAAGGAACCACACCCGGAGCCTTCGACCTAAAGGTCTAATCCACAAGGCAGTGGAGCATTGTGAGGAGATGCGGTCCCATGTTAGCCGGTGATCAACGACTGATTCATACACCATTTGTTCCCTCAGGATACTGGAGCCTATGTGTACCATTGGTTTGGAATCAGGGTTATCCAACTCCTCTAGGTGGACTTTCCGTGTCCACCAACCCGGCTAAAGCGCCGGACATTCGTCCTCTCAATTTGGTAAACAACACCGGTGCCACGAGAAGGCAGTAAGTAGGACTTCCCTGGCAGTGGTTGTATGCACGTGGCGATGTGAGAGCATTTGGAGAGGAAGAGTGGACTCTCCCCACTCTCGGCCGTACCAGGGCATTTGGGGGCTGTTAAATGTAGTTTGCTTTTTAAATGATTATTTCCTTACAGTCTTAACTTTTAATTTAAAAACCACCCTTCCTAGATAAATAAGATCATGTATAATCCAGGACGTATTCAACTATTCAATCTACTGAACGGGATTTTATGCGTTTATAAATCGCCTGGGTTAAGTGTTGAAAAACTAACCAGAAATGTGAAATGCTCATTGGCCAATGGTTTGTCACTGTATATGAAATCAGATGTTTTCCTTCCTAATAGCTTTTAATTCACTTCCAGCTGAGAAACAGTCTATCAGAACAACTATTCAGACATCCAGTGATGTCAACTGTACTCAGCCGAAAATAATTACAGAACCTGATATTGTTGATAGTGATCTTGGTACTTGAGTAATGCATTTCATTTATTTATTTATCTAATTCAAGTATTGGGTAGACGTTTTCTTCCAGGAGATATTATGTTATATCCTATTGATTCCCTTAGTGATTTCATGTCTGGTGTGCAAGGTGGGTTTCGTGTCTATTTACATGTTTGTTTATTTGACAGTCTATGGCATTGGAGAAGATGGTATTTACAACTATGCTGATAAATTCGAACAATCTTCTTGGCTTAAAACCTATCACTTAACATGCATGATGGGACGTGCATCTACTGATGGAACAGCTAATAGTACAACATTACTAAGAGCTTCATGGAGTGAGTGATAACTCCTCAATAATATATGAGGATAAATTCATAATTTTGCTTTAAATCTCATCTATCTGTGGTTGTTTTTCCCGCAGTTGGCCATTGAAAGGTAGATATTTGTTAGACTGGTTCAGACAGGTCACAATAGCACAATTACTGTCGTTTTTATAATGCTTGACTGAATACTGGGCACTTTATTCTTGCGATTTCGCTTTATTGTTTACTTAATGTGGCCTCTCACTTTAAATTACATAATGTTTGTGTATTGTTGAGTTAATGGGTCATTTCGACACAGTTACTATTTATGGTTAAGCTAGTCTAATATGATTGCGAAATTTGCCCTTTCGAAAAAATCTCTGTCAGTATAGCTCAACAGTATGTAAAAAGGGTGATTTAGTAGCATCGTAGTCGAATTTCGAATGCTGAATAAATAAAGCCAAAAATCTATTCACGTACATATATGCGTGTATGACTAGATTTCTGTATATATTATGACTTACCAAAAGGCTTTTTATTCTACGTGGTCTAGGAGGATTAACAATTTGTGAGTAATCCAACCAAAATTTAAAAACTATTAAGCGAACACGTTTATTTTAAAACGTAATTCATAGACAGTGTGTTAACGATCTGTCAGTTGAAGTAAGTCATGAATACCTAGTGAACGAAGACTAATATATCTAGTTATATCAGACATGAGTTTATGTAAGGCTGATTTCAGTTGTGTTCCACCTACTGTCTGCTCGTGAACTTTTGTCTGTAAACTATCGTGCTGCTCAATCTAGATCTCGGTCGATTGTCAGACTATTTATTTATTTTAACATGAACATTGGTACAGAGGGGCACCAGATATGTATGCGCCACACAAAACAATAAGAATGCGAAGAAAAAAAGAGGGTAAGGTGCATATAAGAAAACAAACAAACAATAACAACCACAGATTAGTGTATGTTAGTGTAATAATGAAATAATAGTGAAGGAAACAGGAATGTACAACCAGAAGAACTCTTTCAGTCGAGGAAGCTATAACCACTCTTTATGAAGAAAGTAAAAGGTTACAGCAGGATCGCTACTGGCTTCCATTTTGAGCCATATCTGATAACGTCTCCAGCCACTGTGTTGCACCATCTCTCGGACTCCAACCATGGACTCGTGAAGGAACAACAGAAGCCAGCCTTTTGCAGCTTTCTTTCATACCACGACACCATGTCATACACTGACCACCTCTTCGCTTTTTCCAACCAGTCCCAGCGTCGGCAAATAATGCACGACGGGGAATTCTCTGGGAAGAGATTCGTAGAACATGTCCAAGCCACCGAAGTCGATGTTTCAAGATGGTGACACCAATTGGATTATCGTCTTTGCGCCCGAACACACGATGCCGAACCTGTGCATTACTAACATGGTGTTGCCAATGGATGTCAGCAATGCTTCGGAGACAACGATGATCAAACACAGAGATTCGTCTAACATCTTCAACTCGAAGAGGCCAGGTTTCACAAGCATAGAGCAATACTGCTCTCACTGACGCGTTGTAGATCCTACCTTTTACAGCCAGACTAACATCACGAAGGCGCCAAAGATGGCCCAGATTGGAATAAGCAGCTCTGGCTTTCGCTATACGTGAATCGATTGGTTGGTTTGATTCCTTCCTCAGCAACCGACATCAAGTAGTTAAAATTAACTCTTCATTATCGAACACCGTCCCTGTTAGAAATGGGGTAATTCAGGGTAGTGTTTTAGGCCCTTTGCTCTTTTTAGTTTTTATTAATGATATTTGTGAGTGTCTTTGTGTGGGTAAGTCCCTTTTGTATGCAGACGATCTTAAAGTGGTGTATTCATTTTCTCCACATGAGCTGAACAATATTCAAAATTACATCAGCACGGAGGTTAACAAGGTAGCACAGTGGTGCTCGAAATGGCAACTGGAGCTTGATACAGCTAAATGTGGATGGTTATGCTTTTGTGATACATCACTCAACCTCGATCTTACCATAAATGGTGAAGTGTTATCTAGGTTACACACAGTAGTAGATCTTGGACTTAGGTACTCCGACGACTTGTCGTTTACTGAACAGATAATGAAACAAACGTCTAAGTCTCAACGCCTTATAGGTTACATAACTCGAAACCTTCATAACAGCGAATCTCGTATTCTAATGTACAAAGTTTGTGTTCGACCACTCCTTGAATACTGCGCGTTTCTCCTTAGTAGCACGCGCATAAAGGATAAATTAAGACTGGAATCAGTACAGAGACGATTTACACTTCGTATTCTTGGAACTGATTGTGCCTTAACATATAATTCTAGGTGTAATAAACTCGGGCTTGACCCTTTATGGAAGAGGAGACTCAAACTTAACCTTATCTTCTTTTTCAAAATACTTAACAAACTATCCTTCACATCCAATCAGGCGATTCAATATGCTGAAGCTTCACATTGCGACATTCGTAACTCCTTGTCTTTAGCGAAACAAACATTCTAGATCTTCTCTCTATATGAATTACTTTACCTGTAAGTTTTCTAGGCTCTGGAATAATTTACCTTAAACTATCCGTATATTAAACTCTCTCCCATTGTTTGTTCGCTCAATTAATGCTTTTTGTTCCTCTGAAAATGCATTAAATGTTCTAGCGCCTGCAAGTGTATCTTACTCCACAAGTGAGATTATAGGAACTTTAAATGTTTAACCTCTTACTTGCTCTCATTGTTTTGTTGTTCCGTGCTCTTTGCTTTAACCTTACTTTCTCTAGTTGTAGATAATTAATAATAACTCGCTCTGGCACTGGAAATAACCTTACAGAACAATGTTGATCAATCATCAGGCTATCCACTTAATAAAAAAATGACAAGTTCCCTGGTGTTGCATTGGCTTGCCGTGATATATGCCATATTTAAACTATTTATCAATTACTGAACTAGCAAACTTATATCACATGTTTGTTCTCTACATTTAATATTGCTATTTACATCTGTAGGTATGGTGTGTGCTTCTGTGACACTGATTGCCAACTGATTAAGTGCAGATTGCATGGCTTGAGCACCTACGAAGTGCAAAGTACTTCTACAAGACTGGCAGGATTCTAATCCTGTACTCAGAGTGCATTTACATTTAATATTGCTATTTAAATCGAATTGATCATGCCTGTAAACTGGAGTGAATTCTGTAATTATCATTTTCAGAATATATATATATATATATATATATATATATATATATATATATATATATATATATAATCACTCACGCCATCGCCAGCACTTATGTAGCTACCTAGATACATGAACTCCTCGACTACTTCAACCTGCTAACCACCCAGGGTGAGTACAGGATTAGAATCCTGCCAGTCTTGTAGAAGTACTTTGCACTTCGTAGGTGCTCAAGCCATGCAATCTGCACTTAATCAGTTGGCAATCAGTGTCACAGAAGCACACACCATACCTACAGATGTAAATAGCAATATTAAATGTAGAGAACAAACATGTGATATAAGTTTGCTAGTTCAGTAATTGATAAATAGTTTAAATATGGCATATATCACGGCAAGCCAATGCAACACCAGGGAACTTGTCATTTTTTTATTAAGTGGATAGCCTGATGATTGATCAACATTGTTCTGTAAGGTTATTTCCAGTGCCAGAGCGAGTTATTATTAATTATCTACAACTAGAGAAAGTAAGGTTAAAGCAAAGAGCACGGAACAACAAAACAATGAGAGCAAGTAAGAGGTTAAACATTTAAAGTTCCTATAATCTCACTTGTGGAGTAAGATACACTTGCAGGCGCTAGAACATTTAATGCATTTTCAGAGGAACAAAAAGCATTAATTGAGCGAACAAACAATGGGAGAGAGTTTAATATACGGATAGTTTAAGGTAAATTATTCCAGAGCCTAGAAAACTTACAGGTAAAGTAATTCATATAGAGAGAAGATCTAGAATGTTTGTTTCGCTAAAGACAAGGAGTTACGAATGTCGCAATGTGAAGCTTCAGCATATTGAATCGCCTGATTGGATGTGAAGGATAGTTTGTTAAGTATTTTGAAAAAGAAGATAAGGTTAAGTTTGAGTCTCCTCTTCCATAAAGGGTCAAGCCCGAGTTTATTACACCTAGAATTATATGTTAAGGCACAATCAGTTCCAAGAATACGAAGTGTAAATCGTCTCTGTACTGATTCCAGTCTTAATTTATCCTTTATGCGCGTGCTACTAAGGAGAAACGCGCAGTATTCAAGGAGTGGTCGAACACAAACTTTGTACATTAGAATACGAGATTCGCTGTTATGAAGGTTTCGAGTTATGTAACCTATAAGGCGTTGAGACTTAGACGTTTGTTTCATTATCTGTTCAGTAAACGACAAGTCGTCGGAGTACCTAAGTCCAAGATCTACTACTGTGTGTAACCTAGATAACACTTCACCATTTATGGTAAGATCGAGGTTGAGTGATGTATCACAAAAGCATAACCATCCACATTTAGCTGTATCAAGCTCCAGTTGCCATTTCGAGCACCACTGTGCTACCTTGTTAACCTCCGTGCTGATGTAATTTTGAATATTGTTCAGCTCATGTGGAGAAAATGAATACACCACTTTAAGATCGTCTGCATACAAAAGGGACTTACCCACACAAAGACACTCACAAATATCATTAATAAAAACTAAAAAGAGCAAAGGGCCTAAAACACTACCCTGAATTACCCCATTTCTAACAGGGACGGTGTTCGATAATGAAGAGTTAATTTTAACTACTTGATGTCGGTTGCTGAGGAAGGAATCAAACCAACCAATCGATTCACGTATAGCGAAAGCCAGAGCTGCTTATTCCAATCTGGGCCATCTTTGGCGCCTTCGTGATGTTAGTCTGGCTGTAAAAGGTAGGATCTACAACGCGTCAGTGAGAGCAGTATTGCTCTATGCTTGTGAAACCTGGCCTCTTCGAGTTGAAGATGTTAGACGAATCTCTGTGTTTGATCATCGTTGTCTCCGAAGCATTGCTGACATCCATTGGCAACACCATGTTAGTAATGCACAGGTTCGGCATCGTGTGTTCGGGCGCAAAGACGATAATCCAATTGGTGTCACCATCTTGAAACATCGACTTCGGTGGCTTGGACATGTTCTACGAATCTCTTCCCAGAGAATTCCCCGTCGTGCATTATTTGCCGACGCTGGGACTGGTTGGAAAAAGCGAAGAGGTGGTCAGTGTATGACATGGTGTCGTGGTATGAAAGAAAGCTGCAAAAGGCTGGCTTCTGTTGTTCCTTCACGAGTCCATGGTTGGAGTCCGAGAGATGGTGCAACACAGTGGCTGGAGACGTTATCAGATATGGCTCAAAATGGAAGCCAGTAGCGATCCTGCTGTAACCTTTTACTTTCTTCATAAAGAGTGGTTATAGCTTCCTCGACTGAAAGAGTTCTTCTGGTTGTACATTCCTGTTTCCTTCACTATTATTTCATTATTACACTAACATACACTAATCTGTGGTTGTTATTGTTTGTTTGTTTTCTTATATGCACCTTATCCTCTTTTTTTCTTCGCATTCTTATTGTTTTGTGTGGCGCATACATATCTGGTGCCCCTCTGTACCAATGTTCATGTTAAAGTACAATAATTATATCAATAATCCCAAGTGCGCCACGGGTTTGGTATCGTGGTTTTCCGATTCCACTATGTGGACACGCTGCGTCGATCGCCCGACATTCACTTTTCCTGTTCTCAATTCGGTAAGCAATAACACTGACACGAGAAGGCGGTGAGTAGGACATCCTGGGTAGTGGCTCTATACGCGTGGTCGTGTGAAAGCATTTTGATTTGGAGTTTGGCCCCTACACACTCTCATCCGTTATTAGGCATTTGAGGGCTGAGATATGCTTTGTGCTCCTGGCTAGTATAGTATTGAGTATCTCCGTTTGTCTCGTGGTTGTCAGATAATTGAGTAGCGTGCTCCACATGATTAAGTATCATGATCTCTCTACCGATCAGATTATCGGGTGATCAGTCTAGTGTTAAGTTATGCCGATCTGCGTATTGAGTGTTTATTATCATATAGTTCAGTGTCCAGCATATAATCAATTTCGAATATATCAATTTTGTGTTGCAATTTTGAAAATCTTACAACTATTTTTCATACATACCATATTGTATATTATTTTCTTGTTTACAAACGGGAAACCAGGTTTTAGTCTTTGGATAGAAAAAAGGTGATTATTATATTACGAAATTGGTAAGGTTTAATTATTTTGTGTAACCTATATTTGTGGACTATTAGTTTCTGTCATAAAGTCGGTTCTCATTACAGATTAAAATTAGTTGGTAAGCTGTTGTGTGAGAAAGGAGTAATGACATAGCCATTCTAAATTAGTTACACTTGTTAATTATAACATTTCAATCCTGTGGTATTGGAAATTGTGTTCGTACATTGTTGTTGATCTATAAGCATCTAGGACTATCCAGTTCAATGAATTCAAACGTTTATGTTGATCAATATCAGCAAAATGTTTTAAACAGTGAATTCAGATATATTTTTAGTGCATAATAACTCAGTTGTCTTAGTCTCCTGCCTTGCGTTACGCTGTATTAGTTTTTGCTAACACTAAAAGCCACTAGAGTTAGTCGCACTGTGTTGCAGTTATAAATATAAACTATGGTGCTTCAAGTCATTCATCTAAATGGTAAAATACCCGCCTTATTCACAACTTAGTCAACTAAATATTAGTTTGTTAGTACCCGTTCCGTGCATATGTTTGATTTCAATTGTTTAATGGTTTTTTGTATCAGGACATGTTCAAAAATGCAAAATAGATCAGGTTCTTATAGGACTACAAGCTCAATTCAATGCTTCTGAATTATTACAAGCAGGATTTCGTCCTAACTCACAAAGCGCATATTTAGCACTATGTGGTCGTGAAGCTGGCAGTGATCTTCGTCCGGTGAAACCTACACGCGACGTAGATTATAAAGGAGAGGAACAGTTACTCTCACCATGGGAACGTCCAATGCCGGATGAAAACCGAAATCCCAAAACAATACCTAATCGTAAATATGAGTGGGAAGAAGAAAGAAGACAAATGGCACCTTATGTAAACGCAATGCGTTGTGTGGATTTTGATCCTCCATTTTTTACAATTGGTATGTTGATTTGTGTTTAATCCACAAAAGTTGTTGGGTTTTATAAAATGCTGAGATATTTATTCTATAGTTTTTGTAAAATATTACTCTCCTTATGGCGTTTGAAACGAAAGGTACTGGGTTCGAGTCCCATTGTGAACATCAACTCTGAGATGCAGGTACATTCAGCTGACAAGTCCCAAACAGGACGAAACGCGCATCCTGAATTCCACTGCTAGCCACTATCCATCTTTGCTTACAATTATTCTCCTTAGTTATTAAAATGAAGCAAATTGTTTTGTATATTTTCATTGGTTATGAACATTTGGTAGGTACAATGGAGTGTCAGGAGTTGATTTTTCACTTTTGATTATGGTTACTATCAGCTCAGACATGTTTGATTTCTTCAGAATTTTAGATTTTGTTTTCATTATTAGGCTTTAAATCAGTTATTCAAACGTACTATGTAAATATCTGCACCTATCAGTCTAACGTCTAAACTTTTCTGCTAATTCTTTTATTCTTGTCTCTAATATACCTGTTATACTATTTAAGTTTCTTACACCTTCACTATAAGAGAAACTTAGCCAAATGTCTGGTAAATAGAGCTAGGAAGATATGTTCGGTCTATACAGTTAACAAGAAGTTAGAGCTCATATATAATATGTTGATTGAAATGGGCTGTCGACAAGGCTTTCTGAAGGAAACACTTGCGTGTAACAAACAAGAAAATAACGATATCAACAGCTAGTAAGAAACTTTTCTTCCTGAAGCTGCAATTCAACGGAGATGTAGCTGGTGATGTACTACGTGACAGACTGACTAGAGAATTGAAGAAAACGTTTAATGCAGCTGACCTCTGTCTATCGTACTCGGCCCGGTGTATGGTGATTCATCAACTAAAGGATAAGTTACCTGGTTATTCCCCTTTCTATGTGTATATACGAATTCAACTGCTCCTGTGGAGAAAACTATATTGGGCGCACTACCAGACAACTGAACCAAAGAGTTAGTGAACAGTTCCCTTCGTGGTTAGGAAAAGGTACTGTCAAGGCAATAAAAAATGTGGCACAAATCCATGAAGTCACTGACAAGTGGACTGAGACATGTTGGTAGGTGTAGACTACCTGGTTTGGACCCGCGAGATGATAGCAACCGATGGTTGGAGACCTTGAATGACGTGGCTCAAAATCGTTTGCAATGGCGAAGGTGCATCCACTCTTTGTGTTCTACTAAATTCTAATCTTCTGAATTCTTCATGTCCCTATCCTTTTTCTCTTTCCAAATTTCTTTCATTGGATTATACTCCTTGAATAACTTATTTAAACCCTAATCTTTCACATAATGCTTATACTCTTACTACTTCTACCACTATGGGATTTGAATGGACAACTGCATCTCTGTGTTAATGTGGTATGGCAGGTCGAACTGATGTACGTACGTACGAAGTTCTACGTTGTGACTGACTGACTGACAAGACAATACGCAGCTCGGTTCTTTCACACTTGATCGATAACGGTCATATAGTAGACAGACATAAGTCACTTGAAGTTATTTATCGTATTTCTACTAGTTTTCCTTATAAGGTTCGATCTCGTCTCCTACACATAGCAGAAGCTCTAAGAACTCGAGCCAACAATCCAAGTCTTTTTGTTCATAAGAAATTTGTAACACTCTTATCTCTCCCTTGGCCTTAATAAATGATTTTATTTCCCATACTCTTTCTTTGTTTACTTTTGTTCACCCCCTCCTACCATTTTTTTTCTTCAAGTATACGTTTCATGGTCCCATTATCTGAACATTATCTCCTTGAAAAAGCTTGGACCAGATTGCCAGGCGAAACGTTGAATTTATTTCATATTAATTCGCTGAGATTTTACAAATACATTCTTCCTATTTAATGTCTTACATCAACTCGGCGCCCAAATACTATAAAACTATTCGCTCTAATTTAGACGAAAGTTCTTATATAGGGTGCTAAAATACTCAGAAGCTACTGAACACTTATAGTGTGCATTATAGATAACCTATTTGAAGTAGTGTCATCAGTTCACTTAAAATTACAGTTACACACAGATTTGAGACTTAGATGGTGGTCATATAAATTTTACTAATTGATCCCCGCCTGTGGCTTAAGTGAGGTATTCGTTTATGGATCAAAATGGGGAGTTTACTACGGATTAGTTCGCTGTTTGTAATAAGAAGTCCAAAATGTTTTATAAATGTTATATAAATGTTTTAGAATTTTTCTATTTTTACTACTTACAAAAAGACTTACTGACTTTGGCAATAGTTGATATTTTTATTTATTTATTTATTTAAACAAATAAATATTGGTACAAAGGGTCACCTGATATATAGGCGCCTCACAAAACTCATTTGATTTTTGTGAGGTCTGTGATACTGCCCAGAAGCCCAAACTGAAACAGGTGGTTTTCTTAGTGGGCCACACCCCGAGTCTTTTACCTGAAGGTCTGATCCACAAGGCAGTGGAGCATTGTAAGGCGATGCAGTCCCATGGTTGCCAGTGTCCAACGATTGATTCATACACCATTTGTTCCTTCAGGATACTGGAGCCCATGTGGAGCATTGGTTTGTAATCAGGGTTTTCCAACTCCCCTAGGTGAACTTTCCGTGTCCACCAACCCGGTTAAAGCTGTGGACATTCGCTTTTCGTCTTCTGAACTTCGTAAACCACATCCCCGTCACGAGAAGGCAGTGATATCCTTAACTGAGAAAAACCTTTCTGTAAGTTCGTAGAAGTCATATTTTTGGCGGGGGAGGACGACATTGACTAACTCGTTCTTTATTTTAACCATATAACATTGATCCATTACTTAAATAAGTATTTTATTAACACACTTTTTTTATTAAAAAAAATATAGAAATTCAAGTTATCCATGAAACATTAAAATTTTTCATCGATTTAGTTGGTAATCTTGGTCCAAAATTACGTACAGCTACATTATTATCAAAGGCTAGACGTGTTAGACATGGACCAATAACAGCAGAAAATTCATTACTTATGAAGCATTTACATAGTATACCTGTCGAATTTTATCATGAATTCGTTCAGTGTATTAATGATCTTTTAATGGAAAATAAAAAGCATGATAAACATCCATCTCTACCAATAGTAGAAATGGATGTTGATGATGAAGATCCTGACTTGTTAAAACTTTTAATGAATCGTACACAAGGTAAATATAGTTATCATGTCTATGAAAATTTGTTTAAATGTAATCAATTATGTTCAATGGGTTTTCAGTCTACGGAACAAAAGAAAAATCGTATGATTCCAATAAATTTTTAATATTTATTGTTTGTATATTCATTACAGTGTGTATATAATGTTTTAATATATTAATTGTATATACATTCTGTTATGTATTTGACCTAGACTGTAGCCAATTGTTGTGACTTGATCAAGGTCGTCGCTGATTCGTTATGACGTTACGAATTTAACAAGGACGTAATTCGCGTAAATTATCCATCAATAGAATACGCCTTCTACGACCTTCACACTGTGACAATGACGTTCGATTAGTATGAGTAATCTAGCGTCCTTATTGGTCCTTATCCGCCTAACCCGTCCACTTGAGTCCAAAACACCAATAGCAGTTGCTGCAGTGCGAATCGTTTATTTCAAACATACTTTGTCTATATACCAGACAGGCGGACCACACCATAAAATAGAAAATAATATTTGTACAAAATCAAGCCAAACGTGGCTGGAAGCGTGGGCGACAGTACTCAATAAACCGAGTATAATTTAGGAACAATAAATCATATAATAATAATCAATAGGTCAAAGTGACGCTTACAATAAGATGAATATAGATATAGATAATCTAGTTACTGAATAGTTATACCATAGGAATATAAATAGATTAATAGTCTAATAAGAGGTCCCGTAAGTTATCAGTACTTACTTTTTCCCTCCTGTTCATTAAAATCATGATTATATTATCACAATGGATTGATCACTGGGTGATGATCAATGTCATGCGTGTCGAGTCCTTCTTAGTGCTGATTGAATGCTATCGATCAAGTTGCAATGTGGCCACTAGTCTAGGTGGCTCAACACTGCTTGCACTATGTTAAGATAAGATGGTGGCCGGAAGTGGTCAACAGGAAACCCTGGACTCGGGTTTCGTGCTACTTGGCACTCTTCAGCAAGGTGTACCTGCAATCTTGAGGGAACTGGTGTTCCCTGATGGATACGATCCCATGTCACCCAGCTTCACAGTCAGTGACGTTGCCAGTCAGAGAAATTTACCTATGAGCACCAGTATTTTTGAAGTGAAAGAAATTTCACAATCGATTATACCATTGGCAAGCAAATTTTCACAGGAATCTGTTGTGTATGTGGCGACGTGTTGGACCCACTAGGAATGATGAAGGGATGAGTGGAACATGAAAGTGAATTCTCCGTTTATTTCTTATATCTTATATAAGATATCTTATATATATCTTATATAAGATTCTATGTGTTAGCCAAAACGGTAATGAAAGCCAAATTAAGTTATTTCACGCACTGATATATTCAAACAGACAGCAAGATGAGAAATGAAAAAGACGTGAATATCAACTCAATTCAATAAAGCTTGAATCTATAATTGGATAGGAGAGTAAGCGGAAGATGTGGCGAAAAGAGCATTTGATAAATACTTGCACACATACTTCCATATAACAACAAAGCGAAGAGCTGGCATAGTCGAATATATCTACAGATGATGAAGCAGATAAAATAGACTAGATAATCCGTCCCAAATATATAATCCACTTGGGTATAGAATACTACTAAATATTGCACATTGGTGAATTTGAGTTTTAGGTTTTTCAACTGTAAGCCTCTTAGTTTACTTTATGCACGGTGAGTGGGAGGCAATCTTCAAGTTTTACTGGTTCATAGTGTAAGCGTTTTAGACAGAAGTATCACCAAGTAGCAAGACAAACTTTGATAAGTCTGTTCGAATCCATTTTTCATTTTATTTGTCCCAACATTTCTGTGGTTAGCAGTAAGTCGTATGCACAACGCTGTATATAACAGCCATAGAAAAGTTCGTGAGTAAAAATCTAAAGAACTTTGATTATAAATACTCACGCACAATCGAAATGTACATGGAGACAACTGTTCGGTTGAAGACCCGACGATCTAAACATCATGAAGTTTAGGATTCTGTGGTTATCGGAATAAATCGAGTCAATAAGCCAACTAAGAGGTTCCGGAAATGTTCAAATTAAGGCATGCAGAACTTTGTCAGTACAGTGGCCACATGCGCAATAGATTCCTGTGAAAATTTGCTTGCCAATGATATCACCGATTGTGAAATTTCCTTTAAAGGGTGAAAACTGTCTCATGATGCTAGGTCCAATTCAGTGGGTGATTAGATCTCGCATTATTTATCTACCTTTCTTCTGTCCCAATCTAGATAGTATTGTGTCTTCAACTCAAGATCTTGTAGGTTAGTAGTCACATCATGATAAATCTACAATTTTGGGATTAGGTTATTATTGGAGCAGTACGAATATCGAAGTAGGCCATAATTCTTCAGTTGCTCGGACACCAGAATTCGATAACTTTCAAATGTATTGAAATATTATTGGAACAAAAGGATGAATATTACCAGATGAAATATTGCAGGTGAGAGAGGAACCTTAGAAAGAAAACGGCAAATGTTTGAATACAAATAAGATTTTTCCCAGCACGGCTTTCAGTCTGCATCGTATGCTTGTAAATTAACCACGTATTCAAAATTAATATTTTTTGTTATATCGACGTTTATCCGTTGATAAACTGGAAGTCCGTTTATAACTGAATTTCGTGGTCTAGTTGTCTAGCTTTTCGAGGCGAATAGTGATCGTACGACAGGTTTGGAAGGTTTTGTGTGCGAAAATCCCTCCATGCATACATTTGCAACTTGTTTTCATTTGTTTCTTAAGTTGTACAGTTTGTTAGTCTTTTTGATGTCATTTGAGATGGCAATATTTTGTTTTATTATAGTTTTCGCATTTTTCTTTCACCTTTACTAAGTTTCTATGTTTCTTCTTGAACCGTATTTATTTTGTTTGAGTTGATACCTAATCTTTGCGGCAGCCATACTCATTGTTCCCTCCTTGATCGTGTTGCTTGAGTTGACTGGGATCGGGCATTTTGATTGTGAATTGAAGCTTTCTTCCAGAACTGAAAGCACTTTGTTATGTTACCTTTTGAACGGATTTTTACTTGATCTATTCAGAAACGATAGAATAGCACTTCATTTTTGGTGCGCTCGGTAATTTTACTACATTCCTTATTAGTTTGTCTATTTATTGTAATTTAAATCGATTATTGAGGGAACAATTATTGGTTGAATAACTGAGCGGTAATATTTGTTTAGGTAAAATTGTACATTTGTATTTATAATGAAATTTAGAATCTTTATTTTCCCAATCACCTTGTATTGATTTCAACTGGGTGATTGCGTGTGTCTAGACTATCGATACAGTTATTCTTCAGCAAACCATAGTTTGGATCTTAGAATTTCGAAGAAATAATGTAGGTTCATGACCAGTAGTTATGGTAAACTCACCTTCTTGTATCGGGGGGCTGAAATGTTTGAGAGAGGCTGTGTTTGGACTGGCAATAGTCAGTTTGAAGAGAGAACTAAAGGTGTGGTGACTTTTTTAGTTTCATCTGCAAAACTGTCCCCACTCTGATTAGTATCGTTTGTTTGAATGTGAATTGTAAGTTTTTTTCAGATGCTGTTGAAGTATCAACATGCGTGTAGGAGCCGTGTGGTTCGCTTGTACCGAAGGAAAGTGGATAGGATTTCCTTCTAAATACGCTGCTTTGAGGTAATCGATACTGATGTTATCGTTAGTGCCGTTCTTATGGACTATATAGCGCTTAGGTTCACGCTAAAGTATCCATTGGATGCCGTTTCCAGAAGTTGCCGGAGCGAGTATTGACGTACAAAGACGCATGTACTATAATGTAGAGCAGGTTGAACGAAAACATCAGTTGATTGCGGTCGGGTGGAAATAGGTTTAACCGAACGCATTGCATTTGCAAGCTTGCTCGTGTAGTATTTTAGATCCATGTTCATTGAAGAAGAGGAGAGATCCACGAATTCTCCTAGAAGTCGAAGTGTCGTTCCATTAACGAGTTGATCTGCAGTGCATCCAATGTCAGCTTTCACTGTACAGCGGATACCAAGTAAGACGGGTGGAAGAGCATCGGTCCGTTGTTAAACGTTTGCAGCTGATAGGGAATCTTTCAATTGTCAGTGAAATCATGCCAACACCCCGTATGTCTTTACTAATACCAGGCCATCAAAACCGTTCTGCCATAATCTTGATGAATGCTTGCACACCTGGATGAGAAAGTTGGCGCAACGTATTGAAGACGTTGCATCGTTAATGTTCCGGTACGATTGGGCGATCCTCACTTGTAGATGTGTCACGTAGTAAGGTTTCCCTACCTGTCCATTCTGTTTAGTGCTCAGTTCAAGGGTTGTTGTGGATAGCTCGTGCCGAAGATCTGTGTCTTCTTTTGAAGCTGGCCGAGTTTCAGAAGGTCGATTCCCTGGAAACTGTTCAAGGGAGTTGTGCGAGACAAGGCGCCTGCAACTATATTGTTTGCTCCAGAAATGTTTTGTGTATCCGAAGGAAAATGCGAAATGTAGTCCAGTTGTCGAGAATCACGAAGTGAGTACTTGCCTGAAGATGAACTTAAAGAGAAAATATGAGGTCTATGACCAGTAGCAGGACGAATTTCCGACCTTCAATAGAGTGTTGAAAATGTCGTACAGCACAATACGTAGCCAGGAGTTCCCTACCGAAATTTCTATGCCTCGATTCAGTGTCTAGCAAAGGTCTCGAGAAAAATGACAGTTTGCCAAGAGTATTTAACCCATTATTGTATGACTCATCCGAGTCAGATGCGTCTACTGCGATACTAATAGGTGCTAGGTTGTTCTGATGTGCCAGAATGGCTGCCTTGGCAATAAGTTCTTTTACTGTGGAGAATGCTTTTCTCGTGGTATCTTCCAAATTGATGTATTCCGCATTTCCACGAAATTGGTCGATCAGCGGTTTTATTATGGTTACGCAATTAGGTATGAGCCGTCTGTAGAAACTTACATAGCCTTTAAATATGCATAATTGCTGAATAGTGGTCGGTTCCGGGTAATCCAGATTGGCCGCCACTTTGCTTCTCAGATGCTTTGAGCGTCAGTAGTGTGTCCTAGGAGATCTAAGGAGTCGGTTCCGATTTGGCATTTCTGAATGCTTGCAGTAATGTCATACTTTTGCAGTCGTTCGTACACAATGTCCAGATGCTAGAGATGGGATTCTTTCTCTGAACTTGCTATCAGACAGTCATCAGCATACGCATGTACGAAATTGAGACCTCGGAAAACGTCATCGATGAATCAAAGGGTGTTATGATAGCGGTTTTTGGAATATCGTCAGTAGCCATACGGATTTGGTTATATGCTTGAGCCGAGTCGATTTTCGAAAAAACAGTTGTACCTTTTTAATCTTGGATGTGAAGCAACGGGTAGCGATCGGGAATGGTTTTCACATTCAATCGCCGATAGTCACCAGTTGGATGCCAATCGTCGTTGTCCGTTTTGGGGACCATGTGTGACGTAGATGCCAATGGGCTATTTGTCGGTCGAATGGTTCCTAAATCTATCGTGTGATCGAATTCACTTATAGCCAACCTCGGCTTTTTGGGAGCCAGTCAGCGTGCTTTTGAGAATACAGGTGGTCTTGTAGTCAAGATGTGATGTGTAACAATGCTGGTTACATACGGCAATTTGAGTTGCAGTTAGTATATCCCCGAGTACTTATCGGGTAATGGCTGAGAGAACGGGTCTTTTATGTGCCTAATTGTGACTGGGGATATTCTGCAACCAGATGAAGGAGTTACGCAAACAGATAACTTATTGTTTCCGTCTACTGGCCTTCGTTTGCGTGTGTAAATAAGTAGGTTGTGGTGTAGTAGGAGGTCAATACCAGTTACTGGCATAGAAACATCTGCAACAGTGAAAATCCAGTGAATGGGTTTGCGTAAACCCATTTTAAGGAAAGCGTACCGTCTACCATATGTGGCGATCGACTTTCCATTTGTCGCCTTTATATTTAAGACAGATTTGTGAAAATCGATCGTTAGAATTCGCTAACTCCTGTGCCAGTATCGACGAGGTAGCGAAATTTCATGATCACATCAATGATGTATAATAGGCGGCCATGTTTGCCGGTTACGGTTGCCGTTAACGCGTGATAGCTGGGAAGTTTCCTGTATTGTTTTTCCTGTCGGTCGATTTGGAGTTCGGATAATTGCAGGATCTGTAATTTCTGGAAGGGTTTCCATACTGGTTATGGTACCAGCATCAGTCGGGATTATTTGTCTCTCGTCGTCTGAAGGCAGATCGCCTTCGTGAAATGTTATTTCGCAGTGTTTGTGACCGTTTACGGTCATTACGAAATCGAAGTAAACGTGTCATGTATGACATAGATCCGAAATGTCATTCTGTTTCTCTTGAGGTTTTTCTTTGACTGAGAATACTTCGGCGTTGTAGGCCTTCGTGATTTCTGGGATGCGGTTGGCAGATGCAGCCAGCTCATCTATGGCGTTGTTTTGAAACGAGACGAGTACTGCTCACACCTGTTGCGGAAGTTTAGACAAGAAACGTTGTCTGTATCGGCCATCATCGCAAGTTCTTTGGCCAATAACCTCTCTCATCCTCAGTAACATGTCTGTCGCAGGACCATGTTGCATGTCAATACTATTAAGGAGTTGATCTAACCCTTGTCGATCGGTTAGCTTACCGCGTTTCAGAGTTTCGTAAGGCTCCAAAGCATCTCTGGTTAACATGCTAGGTGCGACGTACCTGTTGAAATCGCGCGGTAGTGTCTTTTTCAACCACGAGGAACTGTGTGTAAATCAGTCATTCCGTGCCCATAGAAATCAGCCTCTGCCTAGCAGAACCAGGCTTCGATGGTGTCTGGCCAGAAGGACAGTAGTTGAAAAGAAGGTGGGACATAGTCTTTAGCTTAAATACTTTGGGCGTCTGTTACGTCATAGTGAAAAATCAAGCATGAGAATGAACGAAGAAAAAAATCAATTCGAAAACTGGAAAAAATCACAATATATAAGTTAAAATAAATCGAAGATTTATGAAGTTCCAAAAAGGAACAGACTCACAGTTTATAGGTTGGAGTACCAGATCACGTCGGCCTCGACACTTAAGATACCACAGGTATTGTAGTTTGAAAACACTATATCAGTAACACCTATAATTGAATCGCGCCCAACCAGTGAAATCAAAAGTCAGAAGCGAGTCGGTTCGAAGATATATTTGATGGGTGATCAATATATCGAGGAGTGACTGATCTAATCTGACTAATGATCGTAGGAGATGCTTCGCATGCCGTTCTGAAACGTGATCTGGTACGGATGCATGACCAAGCGCCTTCAGATAGGTGAGTCCATTATAACCAATGTTGTCAGCATAAAATGTCGAACACTTACAGAGCTATTGATTTTGGGGATTTATTTACCACTACAAGCGAATAACTGGCAAGATAGAAATGTGGCTTATGAAGAATGGATAGATTGGTTTGTCCAGAAGTTGAAATAACATAGGCTGGCTTGACATAATGCCAGTCACCACAAGGCCTGCGCTGTAGAAAATAACACATTCCGTTGAAAAAATGTCTGAAGAGATGTATGGTAATCTATTCTCACACGTCTATGGTGCTTTACTCAAGCACAATATTCCAAGTATTCAGAATGAACAGGAAAAGAGAAGTAGATCTTCACAACCATGAGATTATCCCCAGCATCTCGACTTAGATCCCCCAAAAACTAGTGGTTCTGAAGCTTATTTGTGTATATTTTGTGAGCTGGTATTCATGTTTTTGGGGGCAATTGCCAGCTAAGTAAACGTTAAAGCTATACTTTGAGAAGTCAATTATTGCTGTTTGTGACTGAGATCAAACTGCTAATAAACTCACTGATGTTCCGAGAAATATGAAGAAATAACATTTTATCTCCTCAGATTTAGGGTTATAATTTAATACTTTTGAAAAAGGTTTTTATACACTTTTATGTATTTCTTTTCTGAGTGATTGAGGGTTGATGAGTTCGCTATAACGTTCATTCCTACGTACAATCCTACAGACCGCGCGTAGTTTGCGATTGGTGACACGACTGCAAAATCTCAAGCTTTACTGTGCCTGTATTTTCAAGAAAGATCCCGAATTAAGACCATTGAGTTGCGCATCAGTTGGATGGAAACTAAAATGTCTGGTTTCAGCGCTCTTGGATTTCCTTATCCATTATATGTTGTCGACGTTCTGGATCGAAACTCTTTGGTTGTAGCGGGTGGAGGAGGCTCCGTCAAAACAGGCGTTCCTAATCGGATAGATATTATCAATCTCTATCGAAATGGCCAAGATGCTCCCACTCCTGTTGATGTACAGGTACAGTCATAATTTGGGCCAATTTCATCTAATTTACAAGGGCTTCTTAACCAGGAACAACGTCGTTAATATTCCTATCTATTTTTTAAATTTTTTTCTGGTATGTAATAAGTCATTGGAAAGCTTACTTCATGACTCGTCTTTGTCTTGAGCAATTTAATAACACCCACTTTATATCATACATGTATAGTGATTCGAGTTGTTTTGTCATCTTGATTTAAGTGTCCACTCTCCTAACTTCGACAAAGTCTTAAGAAAAATACAGCCATTTGTGTATACCCTTTCTAGTTATATGGCTTTGAATGCATATAATTTACTAGTTTTTACGACGTGTAACATCGAAATACATGATTTTAAGACTGGAAGCTCAAAAAGTGCAGATGAGAAATTCTTATTAAAGGAACAATACTCTCGGTGTTACTTCAACTGAAATTAATTCAGTCAAGGCGAAAATTGTGGTCTTCATGCGTTGTAAATGATTAAAATCACATGATTAACTAAGTGAGGAAAAATACCACTGTCCTTTTAAATACAACACACTAGTTCTTCTCAGTCAGCTTCTCTTTCTTTAGTCCTTTCCTTAGTGTGCCAGTTAGGGGCTCGAACTGCACTCAGCAGTAGTTCATGGGCTCTGAATACTCAGGGGGAAAATTTGCACGCCATTGGGACTCCGTTTGATTTCGGACTCAGTCATCCGAGTTGTGACCTTTGTAATGAAACAATAGACATAATATAGAGGGCCTAAAGTATGTTAACAATTTTATGATGTGGATCTCACTCGGGGTGTGTGAAGTGTAGTAAAAATGTTTTTTAACTTTAGCAGGGTCCGTTCCAACGGTCGGTAAGATATTTTCGTGACAACTGATTGGGAACATTGCAAGTGAATACTTAAGTGTTTATTTCACTTACTAAGTTCACTCAGTTTATTTATTTATTTATTTAAACACATAAATATTGGTACAAGTAAGCACCAGATACATATGCGCCACACAAATCTCATTTGATTTGTATGAGGGCTGTGATACTGCCTAGAAGCCCAAACTGAAACAGGTGGTTTACTTAGGCGGCCACACCCCGAGTCTTTTACCTGAAAGTCTGATCCACAAGGCAGTGGAGCATCGTAAGGAGATGCAGTCCCATGGTTGCCAGTGTCCAACGATTGATTCATACACCATTTGTTCCTTCAGGATACTGGAGCCCATGTGGAGCATTGGTTTTGAATCAGGGTTTTCCAACTCCCCTAGGTGAACTTTCCGTGTCCACCAACCCGGTTAAAGCTGTGGACATTCGCTTTTCGTCCTCTTAGTTTCGTAAACAACAGGTCTACAGTAAGAAGGCAGTGAGTCGGGCTTTTCTGGCAGAGGCTGTATACGCGTGGCCGTGTAAGAGAATTTGGAGAGGAAGAGCGGACTCTCTCCACTCTTGGCCGTACCAGGGCATTTGGGGACAAAGAATGTTGATAGCATTAGCGTAATGTAGCATTGTAAATCCATTGATACATGGAATTTCATCGAAATGATGGATGAACATCGAATCCAGTACTTCACTTAGTCGATTAATGTAGCTGATTTACCAAGTACATTTTCATGTATTCGGGTTTTGGAAACCTTTTATGTAGGAGCCAATTATATTCCTACCTGGCTTTTAAAACCATAGTGAGCAGAACTTAATGGTTCCGAATCGAGTGCTTGAATCACTGAACCACTGCTTCTGTCAAACGCCCCCAAATGCCCTGGTACGGCCGAGAGTGGGGAGGGTCCGCTCTCTCTCTCGGAATGCTCTCACATGGCCACGCGAATATATAGCCTCTGCCAGAGAAGTCCTACTCACTGCCTTCTTACTGTAGACCTGTCGTTTAAGAAACTAAGAGGACGAAAAGCGAATGTCCGGTGCTTTAACCGGGTTGTTGGATGTGGAGGATCCACCTAGGGAAGTTGGAAAACCCTGATTACAAACCAATGCTCCACATGGGCTCCAGGATCCTGAGAGAACAAATGGCGTACGAACCAATTGTTGGTCACCGGCTACCATGTGACTGCATCTCCTCACGATGCTACACTGCCTTGTGGACTAGATCTTCAGGTCAAAGGCTCCGGGTGTGGCCGCCTAAGAAAACTACCTGCTTCAGTCTGGGCACCTGGGTAGTATCACAGCCCTCACACAAATCGAATGAGATTTGTGGGGCGCATATGTATCTGTTGCTTCCTTGTACCAATATTTATGTGTTTAAATAAATAAATAAATAAATTCTGTCAAACGCTTAAAACATTGAGGCAGCTCGTACTAAAACGATTTTCTATTTTATTTGTTTATTTGAACACGTAAATATTGGTACAAAGGAACACCGAATACATGTGCGCCAAACAAGTCACTTAACTTGTGTGTGGGCTGTAATACTGTTGCCATGTAACAGCGTTTCAAGAGGAAGAGCTGACTCTCCCCACCCCCGGCCGTACCAGGGTATCTGGGGGATTTTTATTCCTACAAACCTACTAAAAATACGTTCATAATTCTCATATTCTCTGTATCGTTATTTCTATAAGTAGTGAATTATGGTCAGAGCGTCTTGCTTTTGGCCACAAAGTAGTAGTGAACTGGAAGGAAGCTAGGTCTACTTAAACTGGGACGCGACAACCGTCTATGGTCATCGACAATTACACTTAGCTACATTAATAGGTGTGAATTACCTGATTAGGGTCCTCGTGATTATCCTCATCAGTGGTTATGGTTTGATATACATGGGTCTGAATCGCTCTCATTGAGGCAGGTACATTCATTTTTCCTTCCTTAGAACCCAGGCTCAGACAGTCCGCTTATACTTCGTTTTTTCCTCTTTACCTAGTCTATTATCGTACTACCAATGCTATTACTTCTACCCTTGTATTTATCTTGACAATCACTGTACCAACTTAAACCCGTGGACATGTGTTAGATCCTACGTTTCATATGATTGGCTGGCACTAGGTCCCAGATTCAAACCCCATCCTACGTACTTTAGTTTGGGAAACCAAGTATTATCATCAACTCACACTTGGTATCTGGCTTATACCTAAGTACTTGGTGAATGATTCAATTAATTATTTCTGTTTTACTATTTCAGTAAGATAAATAGAAATCCTTATCAGTGAAGTCAGTTTCGATGTTTTTTTTCTTAGTTCACTGAAAGAGATTTTGATGACAGGTTTTAATATTTAGATTGTTTTACAGTTATATCAATGTATTCCACTTGCAACAATGGTCTTTTTCGTTTTAGAAATCCGGCGGTTTAGATACTGGCACAGAAGCTGTTATGAGTTTAACTGTCGTCAATCCTGGAGACGGTGGTTTTATTGCTAGTTTGGAAGGTCAGAAGTGTGTAGAGTACATTGTACAATCAAAAGTGAATCTCGTTGCCTCATCAGCAAAATTACTAAATGTTGAAAAGCCTGCTTCTACTACAGACGTCTTAGAGGAAACAAACTTGCGTCACAGATCACGTACGTTTTGTCATATTCTTTTCTTCGATGTTACTATATCTGCTTATTAGGTCAATCAGTCATCCACAACGTAGGACCAGGCCCATATAAGCATCAATTCAAGTTGCCACACCTCATTAGCACAACAAGATCACCAAATTCATAGAAGCAGTTGCTTCAATAGTAGTAATACATTAAAAAGATTGCATTTGTGGATATGATACGGAGAGAAATAATTATTCCGTAGAAGGAAAGGTATAAAGTAGTTTTAATCTCACGGTTTAAGGAAAGAAAAATAGTGTATACACCTAGGTCATTGTGACCGATTCCGAGCCGTCACACAGTCTCCAACCATTGGTTACGATAGTCACGCGGACCCCAACCATTTTTATTATTGTTTTTATTATTTTTATTTAAACACATAAATATTGGTACAAGGAAGCAACAGATACATATGCGCCCCACAAATCTCATTCGATTTGTGTGAGGGCTGTGATACTACCCAGGTGCCCAGACTGAAGCAGGTAGTTTTCTTAGGCGGCCACACCCGGAGCCTTTGACCTGAAGATCTAGTCCACAAGGCAGTGTAGCATCGTGAGGAGATGCAGTCACATGGTAGCCGGTGACCAACAATTGGTTCATACGCCATTTGTTCTCTCAGGATCCTGGAGCCCATGTGGAGCATTGGTTTGTAATCAGGGTTTTCCAACTTCCCTAGGTGAACTTTCCGTGTCCACCAACCCGGTTAGAGCGCCGGACATTCGATTTTCGTTTTCTCAATTTGGTAAACAACACCGGTGCCACGAGAAGGCAGTGAGTAGGACTTCTCTGGCAGAGGCTATATATTCGCGTGGCCATGTGAGAGCATTTCGAGAGGAAGAGTGGACTCTCTCCACTCTCGGCCGTACCAGGGAATTTGGGGGCAAGTTAGTGACTTCAAGCTCTGATGCCACGTTTTGGTTTGGCTGCCCCTAAACTTCTTCAAGTCATTTCCAACACTAGTCAGCATTACGCGCTGTGGTGATCGGTGTTCAGGAATGTGTAACTTGTGACCCAACCATCTGAGTCTATGTAGATTCACAATCTCATCAATTGATTTACCATGCGGATGCGAGTATTATTTGTAAGACATCTGTGATCAAATACTAGTAACTTACGAGTATCTTGTACTCTTAATGGCCATGTTTCGCAGCTGTAAATTAAAACAGAACGAACTGCTACGCAGTATACTCGTCCCTTAATTGATAGACGGGTATCTCGCCTTCACCATAGGTGATGTAAGCTGGCAAAAGCCAAACGAGCTTTCTGAACCCATGTTGAGATTTCGTCAGTCATCAACCCATTAGAGCTGATCAGACTTCCAAGATATGTGAAGTTATGGACGCGTTCGACTACTTCACTCTCTATCCTTAGTTCAGGTGTTGACGCATGCCAGTCCTGGAGCAACAACCTGTATTTAGAAAGGGAGAAACGCATCACGAACATCTTGGCATTGTTGCTCAATGGTACCAAAAGACTGCATTTTATAAGCGTCTTCATCAAACAAGATCAAATTATCTGTTCGCTGAGTTGGAATACCAAAACACTCACTTAAATGTCTTTCTGTTTGGTTTAGGCTACCTACTTAAACATTAAAGTCACCTGCTTTGAGTACTATGTCTGAGTGTTTAGATTTTCGAAGAGTTTCAGAAAGCTTTTTGTAAAAATTCGTCTTTCGCTTCATCCCGGCTGCAGTCAGTGGGAGGGTAGATAGAAACGACGTGTGTCCCTATCCTTCCGAGTTCTTAAGGAGCTGTTTGCCCAAATAGCATATAGGCGACTGTTAACAGTAGTCCATTCTGATAGTGCTTGTTCTGCCCTCATAATTAGTGATATGCCTACATCCAGTCCACGAGAATTGACCATCGGGTCACCAGATAAACGGGGGGTGTATCTCGTCGTCGAGTGAATGACCACACTAGGATCCTGTATGTGTGTTTCGGAGACACAGCATACATCAATGGTACAAGACTTTAGGGTCTTAGCCAAGGGTACTTGTTTTACTTGACTTAATCCTAAACAAGTAACAATTGATTTACAAATTTTATATGGTCTGTATAATTAAAATACACATTTGTTCAATGTGTATGTTCTTAGCAAGCCACTATAGGATCTTGGCCCTGTTTAAAGTGTTCACAAAAACACATTCATATGTATTGAACCCGTTCATGTTGCCTTATTTTATTCACTCGTTATGCTTTTCTTTATTCTCATATCAATAAAGATTTTACTTAATAATTACTATGGTGTATTCTGTAAATATCTGGTTTAGGAAGGCGTTGCACTGATGACAAAGATTCTGGATTGAATAAGATGTCTACCTCAATGCAGGATTCTGATAAGAAAGACAAAAATATTAGTCTAAATGAACCAGTGCCTTTAGAATGGGAACTAACCAAAGTCCGTGAATACACACTTATGGAACAGATTTCTTCTTCAGCTGACGATTCTGGCTCTGAATCACCATCGGGATCTGCACCGAAAAGTCTGTCCGGAATGCCTACATGTGTAACGCATGGTGGACCTGCTGGTACTTGGTTAGCTATTGGTTCTGATAGTGGATCTGTCTTTCTTATCAATCGTCATATTCAACAACGTTTTCTTGACGAAAAGCAATTAGGTGATAGTCCATATCAGGTTTGTCGTATGTCTAATAGTTCTGATATTTTGATGCTACTTTGCACTTCTGATCTCAAAGCTCTAGCTAACATAACAAGATTTTTTCGATAATCAAAAGCAGAATCGATTAACAAATGTTCCATCCCATAAATTTTGTTTCTTTTAAACATACAGAAATGACGTGATTGATAAAATCCAGTGTGTATTTATTCTGTATTTTGCATTGTAAAATGTACACACACTAATTTGGATTAGGTGAAATATAGCTTGCAATGGAACCCAGGACGCACGTTTGGTCCCATGTAGGACTCGTCATTTGGATGTGCCTTCATCTTAGTGAATGTTCACTCCGGGATTCGAACCCAGTAATGTTCGCTTCAAATGCCACTGCGTTATCCACTCGCCTACTGAGTTCAGATAGTTATTTATTTGGAATGGTTTGATCCAGGTACATTCAGTTAACTAGTCCCAAATAGTACGAAACGCATGTCCCGGATTTCATTGCTAATCTTATTACAACTAATGCTTACTGATTATATATATATATGCAAATTAAATTCTATTTTCAGTCTCACAAGCTAGTCCGAGTCCGGATAGCTCAATGGTAACGTCTCGTATTGTAAAACTGAATGATACGGGTTCAAATTCACTGGAGAGCATCAGCAAGCTTCCTCAGGATCGCACCTGCGTTTTAGTGAAGAGTTCCAAATAGCACAAAACTATTTAGTACCACTTAAGATCTAAATATAGTGCTCATGATGTTAAATCACTTAAACTAGTTACCACACTGCGATTCAGTCGATAGAATTTAACCAGCTCTAAGGACTAGATAGACACGACATTGGTCACTACTCATTGATCAATTAAAGTGTTAGGTACAAGCGCATTCACTCGGCTTTAAGCCGCAGTGTTTGTGTCTCGCGTTATTATCCAATTCTTCAAACCAAAGTGGATGGGGCATGTTTTTAACCCATATAACCGGTTGTTTAAAGGATAAGTTGCCAAAACACTGAGCTACCTGTTCACTAAAGTATAAAAATAGTTATTAAATTACGTATGTGATTTTAAATCAATGATATGGTCACTGGTGATAGTGATAAACTTATTATCATAAAAAATGCTTATTATTAATAACATTATTTATACCTTCCTTCCTCTATAGTCACTGATTGTATATCCAGATGTTAGTGGTGGTTTATCAACCGGTGTTTGCAGTATGACTTTTTCACATGGATCTACATGTAAACAAGATGATTCTACTTCATATCCCCTATTAGCTACAATATGTGATAGACCTGATTGGAGTACATTAAGAGTATGGTGTACTAATATTAATCTCTATCCAAAATCATTTCTATTTTTAAATGATATTCAATCAATACGTTCAACATTGAATTCACACCAACAACTAATCAAATTAAAAACGAACACTTCAAAAAGAAATTCTAGTAATGAAAGAGGTATTCGAATGAAAACTTTCATATCTAATTCAGATAATAATGATAATTCATTTAAAATTCAAGATGATATTTTATTTAGTCAATCAATGGAAAAATATCCATATGCAATTGCTTCTTGTAGTTCTTTATCATTTCATGGAACTACACCACCACCATCACCAAATCTTGTATCTACATCGAATAAAGTAGTAAGTAGTAATGATGATAACAAATCTATTATTTTATTTTACAATTTAATTGATCATATGTAATCTAATTTGATTTATTTTATTTATTTAAACATATAAATATTGGTATAAGGAAGCACCAGATACATATGCGCCACACAAATCTCATTTGATTTGTATGAGGGCTGTGATACTGCCTAGAAGCCCAAACTGAAACAGGTGGTTTTCTTAGTGGGCCACACCCCGAGTCTTTTACCTGAAGGTCTGATCCACAAGGCAGTGGAGCATCGTAAGGAGATGCAGTCCCATGGTTGCCAGTGTCCAACGATTGATTCATACACCATTTGTTCCTTCAGGATACTGGAGCCCATGTGGAGCATTGGTTTGTAATCAGGGTTTTCCAACTCCCCTAGGTGAACTTTCCTTGTCCACCAACCCGGTTAAAGCTATGGACATTCGCTTTTCGTCCTCTTAGTTTCTTAAACAACAGGTCTACAGTAAGAAGGCAGTGAGTCGGACTTCTCTGGCAGAGGCTGTATACGCGTGGCCGTGTAAGAGAATTTGGAGAGGAAGAGCGGACTCTCCCCACTCTCGGATGTACCAGGGCATGTTGGGGCTGTTACAAACTACATTGAAACACCAAACCACTTATTCGAGTCCTGTTTGTCGAACAATGACAGAATAATTGAGGAGTATAGTTGATTCTTATGTAGTAGGTGGTAATTCATTGTCCCTGCTCAGTTATCTACTACGACTTTGTCTTCATATTTTGTTCGGTAAGGTTTGTAACAGATAATTTAAACGATTTATACTGGAACGTAGTGTTTTCAGCGTATGATAATTATCCGAACTGTAGCTCCAGTGAGTACCTTCTACTTCATAATTAATTAGATGCATCATTTATATGTGTGGTAGTGATTTGATGATTAGAGAACTTGGCTTCCAACCGGTAGGTTTCAGGTTATAACTGCGCTCTACTTCGGGTTGGACAACCTGGTATTATCTCATCGTAAAGGTGTATTTCAAGGATTACTATGTGAATCTGTTAATGGATATATATCACTAAATTATAAACATGTTGCTTCATTTAGACAATTAAATATGCCAAAATAGTGATTTTGGGTTACTCTCTTACTCTTTATTGTACCATTCATATGACCAGTAATCATAAATATCCGACTTCTTTGGTAATATTATCGATAGGATGACCTCAAATGATCTAATTTTACAAATAATTGATATTTCTAATGTGTGAGGAAATCGTTATAAATTTTTTATAACTTTCTACACAGACCTTTTATTCTCATCTAAACCAGTCAGTCAGTCAGCTACAACGTAGGACCAGGCACACATATGCATCGGTCCAAGTTGCCATACCTCGTTCGCACAACAAGATGAATACCGGATTCATAGAAGTAGTTAATTTAGTGATGGTAATATATAAAAGATAGGTTGTATATAAGGATATAGTATAGGAAGGAAGAACGTTATGAAGCAATTTTAATCTCAAGGTTTAACGGAAGATAAAGAGTGTATACACCTACGCGATTGTGATTGATTCTGAGCCATGTCACCTCCAACCCTTGGTTACGATAGTCACGCGGACCCCAACCAGGTAGTCTGCATCTACCAACATGACTCAAACTAGAAGTTAGTGACTTCAAGCACTGATGCCACGTTTTTGATTTGACTGCCCCTAACTCTCTTCCAACCATCCCCAATACTAGTCAGCATAGCGCGTCGTGGGAATCGGTGTTCAGGAAAACGTAACACGTGACCCAACCATTTCAGTCGATGAAGATTCATGACCTCAACAACTGATTTGCCATCATTCCCTAATACCCTGTGTCCAACCTCACTATTACTTACTCGGTGATCCCATCAGATACTGGCAATATTCCTAAGATGTCTGTGGTCAAATGCTCGTAACTTACGAGTATCTTCTACTCTCAACGGCCACGTTTCGCAGCCGTAATGTAGAACAGAGCGAACTGCTTCTCAGTATAGTCGTCCCTTAATTGATAGACGGATATCTCGTCTTCGCCATAGGTGACATAATTTCGCAAAAGCCAAACGAGATTTTTGAATCTGTGCTGGGATTTCGTCAGATACCAACCCATTAGGGCTGAACAGACTTCAGATTCTCATCTACATGGTCCTTATCGCTTTGAGTTTGCCAATTTTATATTTGTCTAGGTCGTTCTCGTAGCTATACAAACGGTTGTTCTTTTACAATTTCAATTTCTTGTATACTCAGCTTTTTTTTCTTAGTTTTTAACTTTTCTCTCATTCACGTGTAAATTATTGTTGAAGTGTTTGTGTATCAATCTTTTGGTCTATCTAAATGACGTAAATCTCATTTTTTATTAAAGGAATCTTCAAATAATTCGGAATCACCTCAAGGTATTTCAAAATATAACGATTATTTGGTACATTATTTAAACAATAGAGGCTATTGTACTATCAAATTATATTCTTACCGTTTTTTGTAAGTTTAGTCATCATTAGAATATTATCAGAATTAAGATTTGTGGGAATTGTAGTAATTTTAGTAGTTCAATTCATGAATTGATCTAAGCTAGACCATCATTGAAAACCTGGAGGTACTAGGTGGCCATTTTGTCCTGGTATGGAACTCCTTAACAGTACGCATCCACGATCCCTCACTCGGAACTCGAACCCAGGACCTTCGGCCTCGCATGTGAACACAGCCTCGTGATCACTGAACCGACATCCAACGGTGTTAATGCCTAACTTCAATCAATCCATGATCGTGCGCAACTCTTCATCCATTGTCTGGAGTGGATAACTGTCTCCACCCGTTATCGATTGGACTCCACTGGTCACGGCTTCCCATCAGAACTCCTGGGTGAAGGGTTGAGTAAGATCGTGGTTAGGTTTTGACAGCGTTAGATGCTGCAGGCTCAGTAGTCTATAGGTTAAGCGTTCGCGTGCGGAACCGTAAATGCGTACTGCTAATGAGTCCCATACTAGGACAAAACGGCCGTCCAGTGCTTCCAGGTTTTCAATGATGGTCTGGCTTAGATCGACTCATGAATTCAACCATTAAAATTGTTAGAATAATCAAATAATTTGAGTAAACATATGTGTAGAGTTTTTGTGAACTCTTCTCATTTATAACCATTGACATGTTATAGTGCTTTTATCATCATTATATAATCTAATGGGCATCTTTGTAGTTATTTTCTACTTTTCTAAACTGCTAAGTGTTTTTTTTTCCGTTTTCTAAATTTTAGACATCAGAACGTTCTTCGGATCGTTCTAATTATCGCTTCAGACATTGTCAGTTTATGAAATATTCTCTCAAATCTCCAATTTCATCAAATCAATCTTTATCTTCCTCTGAAGGTTTAAAGACCAGTGAAAGTTATACTGTCGAATCTATGCTTGTTACTACGATTCAGCCTTTGTGTGCAAATCGTCGGAGTTTTAGTCGTTTAGTTGTATGGTCAGTACCACATCCTTCAGAGGCAGCAACCAATGAATCGTTATCATCAAATAATATAAAAATGCATCAACCAATTCAACTCAAAACTTTTGCAGAAATTACTCTACCTCAAGGACATTTGCCTGCTTGTCTAGCTGTTCATCCAAGTCGATCACGAGGCTTAATTGGTGTGGGCACTATGGAAGGACGTGTTGATGTGTATTTGTAAGTTTACTACTTAACTTTTATTATGTTGGTTACACTTACAGTTTATGTAAACCAATAAACTGATGCGAGTTTCTTACAATACTCAAGACTGGTATCTTTCATTGGGCCAGTTAGAATTGACATAATAACACTTCATCAATAATTTTGTTGTTTGGAGGATTGTTCCAAATGTTTTTTTCTTGAAAGACAAGACTTAACTGTCATAATATCAGTAATTTCTTACTGAAGTTTTACTCTAGTGAAGAATTTTTCCACTGTCTATACAAACACAATTATTGATCACCCATTTAAATGGCTGACAGTGTCACCTCTTTTTCCTTCCTTTCTTGAAAAAGTGTTTCGTCAGTGAACAGATTCTCTACTTTCCTTTTTCATAGAATGATCATCGAGTTTATATCATAATACCTGAGGTCTCCTCCTCTGTTGGTTATAAATGATGTTATAAAATGACTGTGTTAAATTGATGTGTTAATTTCTCGAATTCACCTGTTGATGAAACTAGCTATTCAAGAAGAATGATAATCTATAGATACTAATTCTATATTGTGTAATAACTAAGTTTCATATGCATAGTTATTCCTCTTATCACCGTAATGATAACAAGAACAAGCATTTAAGCAGAATAACATGAATTCATTCTATTTCGTTTAGTTCTTGTCAGCTGCTTATAACCTGTGATATTTAAAAGCATAATTACAAAATGGATTTAAATGCCTGAACATCGATTCCCACGACGCGCTATGCTGACTAGTATTGGGGATGGTTGGAAGAGAGTTAGGGGCAGCCAAATCAAAAACGTGGCATCAGTGCTTGAAGTCACTAACTTCTAGTTTGAGTCATGTTGGTAGATGCAGACTACCTGGTTGGGGTCCGCGTGACTATCGTAACCAAGGGTTGGAGGTGACATGGCTCAGAATCAATCACAATCGCGTAGGTGTATACACTCTTTATCTTCCGTTAAACCTTGAGATTAAAATTGCTTCATAACGTTCTTCCTTCCTATACTATATCCTTATATACAACCTATCTTTTATATATTACCATCACTAAATTAATTACTTTTATGAATTTGGTGTTCATCTTGTTGTGCGAACGAGGTATGGCAACTTGGACCGATGCATATGTGTGCCTGGTCCTACGTTGTAGCTGACTGACTGACTGGATTTAAATTGCTTACATGAAACAGTTTATTGAGAAGTTTCTTCCTAGATATATCAGTATAGTTATTAGCAAGGAGGTTGATAAATTTAATAAACTGAATAAAATTGTTAATATTTACTTTATGTAAAAGAACATTCTACACCATTGAATGTAACATGAGTTTCAAGGGCTAGAAACAAGTGGTTACTTACCTAATAAATAAACGCTGATAATAAGAATAAAATAAGTAAAGTTCATTAAACTAGAATGAGATGAATAATCTAAAAGACAGTTGAAATGAACAAAGAGATGTAATTCATTGAAAGAAAGAGTTGAACAAAATTCTTGCTCTCTGTTCAAGATAATAGTTAACTGTTTTGTTATAATCATTGTCCATATCAAGATTAATGTTGATATTCTTCAGTTTGATTAGGAATTCAATAATCCAAATGATCAGTTAATTGTAAGACTGATATAACAAGTCATTTATTATTTATTTATTTAAACACATACGTATTGGTACAAAAGGGCACCAGATACATATGCGCCACACAAAATAATGAAAGTAGGAAGAGAAGGGATGTAAAGATAAGGCGGACTGAAATGTACAACCAGAAGACTCTTTCAGTTAAGAAAGTTAGAAGCATTCTTTATGTAGAAAGTAAAAGAAGGTTGCAGCAGGATCGCCACTGGCTTCTATTCTGAGCCATATCTGATAACGTCTCTAGCCACTGTGCTGCGCCATCTCTCGGACCCCAACCAGGGAGTCGTGAAGGACCAACGGAAGCTAGCCCTTTGCAGCTTTCTTTCATGCCACGACACCATGTCATACACTGACCTCCTCTCCGCTTTTTCCAACCAGTCCCAGAGTCGGCAAGTAATGCATGACGTGGAATTCTCTGGGACGACATCCGTAGAACATGTCCAAACCACTGAAGTCGATGTTTCAAGATGGTGACACCAATTGAATTATCGTCTTTGCGCCCGAACACACGATGCCGAACCTGTGCATTACTAACATGGTGTTGCCACTGGATGTCAGCAATGCTTCGGAGACAACGATGATCGAACACAGAGAGACGTCTAGCATTTTCAACTCGGAGAGGCCAGGTTTCACAAGCATAGAGCAATACTGCTCTCACCGACGCGTTGTAGATCCTACCTTTTACAGCCAGACTAACATCACGAAGGCGCCAAAGATGGCCCAGATTGGCATAAGCCGCTCTGGCATTCATTATACGTGCATCAATCTTATCACTCACGCCATCACCAGCACTTATATAGCTACCTAGATACACGAACTTCTCAACTACTTCGATCTGCTCACCATCCAGAGTGAGTGCAGGATGATTATCCTGCCAGTCTTGTAGGAGTACTTTGCACTTGGAGGGTGCAAAGCACATGCCGTACCTGCGGACACTGATTGCCTGCAAGACCAGATGAAGATGCCACAGAGTCCCCGGATAAACCCACATGAAACAAGCTTTCCGAAGCGACAGATGGAGAGCGAATTTGTAGTACTTCACTAGAGTCGTGAATACGGGTCTCGGATAGACAACAAACATCAACATTAAGACTTTCTAAAGACATAGCCAGCTTCATCTGTTGTCCGATCTGCATTGGTGTGCGAACGTTGAAGGAAGCCAGCTTGAACGGCGTACGTGGTTTCAGAAAGACTGCTTCAGTATTCGCAATCGGTGGAAGCATTCACTTTCAACCAGACGGTGACTGGAGATCGTTTAGATTGGACAGAGTTTCCACCATGGGCGAGCTCCCGCATAAGTTGGAAAGGAAGGATACACAATTTGGGAATAAAGGGAGTGAAAAAGCGACGTAGTAAATAATAGTAATAATAATAATAATAATAATAATGATGTAAATTGTCTTTCTACTATTAGGAACGAGAGCAGTGTAGTTAGTGAAGTAAGTCATTTCATGTCATTTGTGTGTGGGCTGTGATACTGCCCGGGTGCCCAAACCGATGCAGGTGGTTTTCTTAGGGGGCCACACTTCGAGCCTTTGACCTAAAGGTCTGATCCACAAGGCAGTGGGGCATCGTGAGGAGATGCAGTCCCATGGTAGCCGTTGACCAATGACAGGTTCGTCCGCCATTCGTTCCATCAGGATACTGGAGCCCATGTGGAGCATTGGTTTTGAATCAGGGTTTTCCAACTCCCCTAGGTGGACCCTCCATGTCCACCAACCCGGTTAAAGCTGTGAACATTCGCTTTTCGTCCTCTCACTTTTGTGAACAACACCAGTGCCACGAGAAGGCAGTGAGTAGAACTTCCCTGGCAGATGCTATATATTCGCGTGGCCATGTGAGAGCATTTCGTACCAGGGCATTTGGGGGCTAAACTTTTTAATGGGTTAATCCTCGAGGCAATGCATTACGAGGCCGACCCGTGGACGGGGTTGAGCAAGGTCACAGCACCCGTCCGGAAGTGAAAATACAGGTAATTTCATTGGTCTCAGTTTAGAGACCGTTGCAGAAATTACACTGCAAAGAACATATACTACTCAGAGAGCCGAGAAGCGACCAGAAAGATTAAGGTTTGAAGATGTTATTCAAGGAGTATAATACAGTGAAATAAATTTGGAAAGAGAAAAAGGATAGGGACATGAAGAATTCAGAGAATTAGAATTTGACAGAACACAAAGAGTGGATGCACCTTCGCCATTGCAAACGATTTTGAGCCATGTCATTCAATGTCTCTAACCATTGATTGCTATCATCTCACGAATCCCAACCAGGTACTCTACACTCACCAGCATGATTCAGTCCACTTGTCAGTGACTTCATGGATTTGTGCAACGTTTTGGTCTGGCCGCCCCTAGTTTTCTTCCAACCTACTCCTACACCATAAAGCGTTGCACGTCGGGCAGTCGGTGGTTGGACATAGAACTGATGTACATATGTACGTACGTACGAAGTCCTACGTTGTGACTGACTGACTGACTGAGAGATGTAAATCACTGATTGACCGTATTTTTTTGCACAAATCCTTTTCATTTTAAAGTGTTTTGCCAATTTTCTTCATTTTGATAATAAAAATGACTATAATTGTCAATAATTATATCTGTTTTTAAAAAAATCTTATTTCCTAATTTAGTTTATCACCGTCAAATCATTGTTTAATCAATATTTACACACTGAATAATGCACATCCAATATTTGTTACTGCTTTAACTTTCTTACGAGAAGATTCATGTATATTGGGTAGAACATCTCAAAAATCAATATCTTATCTTCCTTTAAAATCAGATTCATTTGATTTAGTTAGTGTCAGTGTAGATCGTCTTGTTAAATGGCATCATGGTCCAACTTATTCAACTATTGGTAAATTATCACATGGTATAATCAATTCAAATCATAATGTTAGTTTATTAAAAAGGATTATCCATCCAAAAATATTTATCTATGTATTATGCTTGTTCAGTATATTATTTTTACCAATATTAATGGTAATTCTTGAATCTGTATTATCTAACTTTTAATGATTCTTCTATTTTTCTGTACTAGTTAAGATTTCTTCTTGTTTCTGTGTTGCTTGTTGATTTCTTTTCTTTTTGTGTACCGCTGTTCATCGACTTCAGCTCCCTCCCCTGTCTCTCTCTCTCTCTCTCTCTCTCTCTCTCTCTCTCTATATATATATATATATATATATATATATATATATATATATATACGTGTATATTTTATCATACGTAGTTTACTTTGATATGACCGATATGTCTTTCATGATGAATTCCAAGGAATCTACTCTCCTTTGTTTTTTTCTTATTCATCCTTTAATACTATACAATGATATGATCAAATTGTAATTCCCCCCCCTGTTTTGTGTAATTTATTTCATAATTATAATATAAGTTATGTATACATAGGATATGATGTTTATGATATGTATATGCTTTGTTCGATTCTGTTCTGTTCTATACTGGACAACTCTAAACATATTATCCATTGAATATCATTGTTTTTTTATGGTTTCAGTTATTGAATGTTTTAATTCATTGTAAACATACTTAAATGAAGTGAATAATTAATGGGTATGTGTGTGTGTGTGTGCGCGGATGTGTATGTAATATATACAATAACTTGACAACTAAATTGATTTCTTGAAAGCTTTTATTATTATTATTATTATCATTTTTCACTTCTATTCAGATTATAAAAGTTGTTGTTGTTTTTCTTAAATGAATTCAATATTTCCATTTCATCTATTCAAATACAAAAAAAAATTGATCAATTAATCGATCGATCAATATTATTTATTATCAGTTTCTTTATTACTACTGATTGATCATTTATTGATTTTGTTACATTTCACTTCGTATTCAATGTGTTCTTGTTTTTTCTTTCCTGTTTACCTTTCTTATCCTATTTATTCCTATTCTATAAAACAAACAAAATGTTTATTTTTTTATATTATACTAATGGGTTATGTTATCATAAAAATTGGGGGAAAAAAAAGATAAACAAACAAATAAGAAAAAAGAATAGAGACATTTTCTTCATTTATCAGACTAGTTTATTATAAAAGTACAAAAAATTTAATGATTTTTCTCCTCTTCCCCCTTTTTCTTTTTTATTTATTTATTATAAAACAGTATTCATGATGATTTAAATAAAAGATTAATGAGAAAGTTCATTTTCCATGAATCCTTTAAAAGATGGTGGTCTGCTTGAATATCTAGGTTCCCCCTGTCACCTGCTTCAGTTTGGGTACCTGGGTAGTATCACAGCCCTCATACAAATCAAATAAGATTTGTGTGGGCGCATATATATTTGGTGCCTCTTTGTACCAATATTTATGTGTTGAAATAAATAAAATTCCCCTATCATCTAAATATTTCAACAAGTTATCTGTTGTTGTTGTTGTCTTTTGTTTGTTAATTACATAACCTACTCAAGTATGAATAGTTTACGATCTTTCGCTGTACAAGTAACAAAAACGTACGATTGAAGATATCGTAATAGCTGGCAATATGTATTAAAAAGAATGAATATTATTAAGATGTCGATTCCTTACTTACTTACGCCTGTTACTCCCAATGGAGCATAGGCCGCCTACCAGCATTCTCCAACACACTGTCCTGGACCTTCTTTCCTAGTTCTATTCAGTTTTAGTTCATTCTTCTCATGTCTGTCTCCATTTCTCGGCGTAATGTGTTTTTTGGTCTTCCTCTTCTCCTTTGACTTTGAGGATTCCATGTGACAGCATGTCTTGCGACGCAATTGGGTGATTTCCTTAAAATGTATATCCTATCCACTTTCAGCGCTTCTTCCTCTGCTGGAATTTGGTTTGTTGTCTCCCACAGTAAGTTGTTGCTGATAGTGTTTGGCTAACGGATCCGAAGTATCTTGCGTAAACAACTGTTAATAAATACTTATATCTTGTGGAGGATGGCTTTCATAGTTCTCCACGTCCCCGTCGATTCCTAGACTGCCAATATCTAACTGGCGATTACTCAATATTTATCGTCAGGATCGATCAAGAAATAAGAAACGGAAACTTGTTGATATACTTTATGCTGAGAATTCTATATTATACAAAAAATATAATATCAAGTAAGGCTAATAATAAATAAAATAGATAAATCTTTATTGGTTTAAAATTATCATATTGCAACAACCAATACAGTAAGATCAAATTATAAAGTTGATTTTATAAAAAAACTAATAGAAATAGTAGTTCTATCAATGATAGAAAGAAATAATAACAAGGCAGATTGCGATTAGAGAAAAGAAGAATTTTTAACAGAATATAAAGTAAATTTAAAGTCTATGTTGTGGGTACACAAAGAGTGAATGCATCTGAACTATTGAGCCGTTTCATCGTACTTTTTCGACAACTGACTGGAGTCTTTCACGGACCTCAATCACATAGTCTAAACCTACCAACATTGCTCAAATCAGTCAGTAATTTTATCGACTAATATTGCGTCTCAGTGTGGTCACCGGTTTATTTCAATGTACTAAGCCATTCAGGATTGTATGTTGAGGTAGAGTGTTATTGGACATAAGTTACATCCCAGCCATCTCAATGGATGAGGATTCACAACGTCGTAGTGTGACATGGAGTCGTTAACTGATATCTTATGTCTAAGACTATAACTACTCACTCGGTGGTTCCAATGTACATGAGCAATGCTCCGAAGACACTAAAGCCAGTTGAGTGTTCTAAATCTGCTGAGATTTCTTCAAAAGATAATCCACCAGAGTTGATAAGACTTTCAAAATAAATAACTTGATCGACGTGCTTAACTACATTATTCCTCATTATTAGTTTTGGCGTTGATGATATGATTTTAAAAGTACTTCTCAGGAGCAGTCTGTTGCGAATAATTTTTCAGTGGTATTATCTGAATTCAATCAAGGGTCACATATCCCGGATATTGCTGTTTACGATTATTAGACATATGTAGTGCACATTCCAACCTGCTAATTCAGTGGTGATTCACAATCAACATACCATTTTCATTTATTTCCCTATATCAATCTAGCTACATTTCTTTATTGTTTTAGCTTTAGTAAACCTAGTATCTTCAACAAACCTAGACTGGGATGTGAACTCAAATAGGTGGTAGATGTAATGAAATCATTCCTATTCAAAGTTTAAAGTACAAAATCAAAAGCTAGTGAATAAAGCAATTTTGTTGCCCAGTATCTAATTCCAATTTGATCCTACCAGAGTGCTATGAACATAAATATTCCATTTAATTCCGCATATTACCTGGGCTAGCCCCGTTTGTGTGACGGGGGTAATGAAAAGCCAAACGCGTGTTGTGTTGGATTAATTTATTTCAAGCATTCCTTTATCTAAACAGACATTCAGAGTAAGAAACTGAGCGAAGGCAAGTGAGCCGTCTTGATTTAATCAAGCGTAACTCGATATTTATAATTAGACAAAAAGAAACTACACATATGTGATGAGTAGGATAAGCAATACACACATATATGATCCTATAAATGTAGTCAAGGTTAATAAGCGAATAATTAACAAATTAAAAAGGTGACTCAAGAAGAAACCAGAATAATCCATGTGAGCTTGAAATCGTACCAGACATTACACACTCATTTCCCTAGCGTTGTTCTACATCATAACTATACTTTTGTAATGCCATGCTTCACTAATCGTTCACCTCGATAACCGTTATAATATAAATCTTAACGGTGCATAAAATCAGAAGGCAAAGAGAAGCGGCAACTACAATTTTATTGTCTAATGATGCAGGCCAGAAAGTTATAAGCACATGAGTAAATATCAGCGAGCGTAACAAAAATGACACGCATTGAAGATGGCGCATAGGCCAACTCACTTTAATCAAACGTTAATCAATATTTGTAGTCAGACAAGAACCGATACTACACTTTTATTCATTCCTTCTTTTTAAGTGAATGATTTTATGTCCTCCTGATTATTGGGTATCTTTCGACTCATGATGATTAGTAAGATCACTTTTCATTGGTCGTTTGAAAATGATAAATTTTTTACAATACTTTCTTGAATATGAAATTCCTTCAATCTAAGTGTGGTAATTTTTCACTAACAGCTTAAACAATATGACAAGTGAATATGAGTTGCTTTTAGGGTCTCATTGTCAATTATCTAATAAGAACTAGAATGGAAGCAATAGTCAATCAATCTCTAATAGATATTAATAAAGAATGCTTGCTATTAGTTTAAGTTTTTTTTCTCATGACTTATAATTTATTCTCATAGTTGAAATCATGAGTCAATTGAAGCTTAACCACCATGGAAGCATTGGACGGCCGTTTCGTACTATTATGGGACTCCTCAGCAGTGCGAGATTGGTAGGTTCTGGGTTTGAATATCGCGAGTGCTTCCAGGGTTTCCATGGTGATCTAGCTTCAATTGACTCATGATTTCAACTATGAGAATACTGAAATCTCCACAAAACCCCTTCTGATTTATAATTTATTATCACTCAGAATAGTTAGCTAGATACATAATCAGATTAAGTCATCGTTAAATAACAATTCTATATATTGTTGTTATAACGGTCCGGTTTTCCTCGTCTACACGAATAGCACGTTAATTTACCTTAGACGAATATCTACACTTGATTCCCATCCAGTGTCTATTCTACAGGACTTCAACACAACTCCGATCAAGAACACTTGATTAACCTGACTGGAATGTAAATATATTTCCACACCAAAACCGATACAATCCAACAAATGGATAAACAATCAATAATCATAAATAATAAGGATAGGGGAATATATATAACTCATCTGACATCTGTCAGATTATCTACATGTCTGACTAAACAGACAACCAATCATTCTCGCCTACACATCCCTTATTTATGCTTGTTATCCTTCGTGGAGTACTTTTTCTTAATATATACAAAATGTATGCTCTTCATGAACTTAATTACACTTTGACTTACTTGTAAATAATCTTTGCCGGAGCTCAGAATATGGATCAAATTAATTATTAAATCGATTAGGATTGGAGATTCATGTAGATGTTTCAGTTTAAAGTTGGTCTCCACTACTATTTGATATCATCTTCAGAAGAACTATGGAAAATCGTAGAACATTCTAGGAATATATACTCAGGACTTTTCCAGTGATCAAACTCATAGATTTCCTCGAGCATGATACTTTTAGAC